GTGACTGGATATAATAAGATTAACTCAAAATGAACATCTGGGTTGTCTTCATTTTGCAAATTGATCATAATATCATTGAATGCTTGTGCACAGTTTTTTAAATGCTGATTTTCAGTTATTTTTGGATTTACCTGGGAATGAAATTTCTAGTTTAGATGTTAATTCTATTCTAAACCATGTAAAGAACCATGGAAATCTTATACAGTAGCATCATTGTGCATTTCTGCCATCAGTGGGCAAGATTTCCAATTTTTTCACATCCCCATTTACATTTGTGATTGTCTGATTTCGATGTTCTCAACATTAGAGGGCAGGAATTTACATGTGGTCTTTCTTAGTCGAGACACACACAAATTCTCCCCTCAGTTATCTGAATGAAATCTTCATGAAATGATTTCAAAGAGGCATGATATGCTAACACACACTGTGATAAGACAGGTCCATGATAATATCACCACCACTACAATGACAAGCTTCTCTTCTCCTCACCCACATGGGGTAGAGCAATCTATTTGTGTGTGTGTGTGTGTGTGTGTGTGTGTGTGTGTGTGTATACATCCATGTATCATATATGTACATGCATGTTTGTGTGTGTATAGGTTTATGTGATTGCATGTATATGTGTGTGAGTGTGTTTATAGAAGTCAGAAGTCAACATCAGGTATCTTTCACAATTGATGTCCGTCTTATCTTTTGAAACAGAATCTCTCATTAAGGCTAGTATTCACTGATTGGCTAAATAAACTGTACAATAAGCTCTGCAGATCTTCCTGTCTCCTCTCCTACCTCCAGTTCCAGAGTTATAGACACATATGACCACACCCAGAGTTTACGAGTGCTGAACATCCAAAATCTGCTCTTCATGTTTATGCAGCACGTAACTTACCCAAGGAGCTAGTTCCCTATCCTCAGTGTCTCATTGTTAATGCCTCAATTCTCATAGATGATTCCTCTGAAAGATGCCCCTGTGTCCTCATGATCAAACAAAGATGAACTTGTCAATGCATGATAATTCAGCTATAAGTTACAGTTTTTTAAATATCCTCTTCTACAGTTACAGTCAGATGGTGCTGCTCAAAGTGAGCTATGACCAGACACCACAGTGCACATGGAAACTGAAACACTGCTTCCCAGGCTGCAACTCCAGCCTGCAGACTCAGTATCTGGGGCTGGGTCCAAGTATTCTGCTTGTTAGAAAGCATCCAAGGTTATACCAAAGCTTACGCATACCTGAGAGCTCCTGAATTAAGCTTTTATTTGACAGTAGATAAACCCTGGGAAAATCTGTAGACTAAGGATCAGGGACTTGGAAGTAATTTGTGTTGTTTTCTGTTACCGTGGCTTGTAAATATCTGAACCACAATCTTTACAAAGCAACATGCTGTCTTCATATCGCAGGACAAGCACATGTGCAGGCACATAGGCATGCACGATGAAATCAGTATTTCAGGAAATGATATGTATCCTTATTACCTGTGATTCATGCTGAAAATTTGCACCCTGCTCTATGCCGTGTTCAAAAACACTGGGCTAAGCCCACTGAATTGATTTTGAAATCCTCTAATGAATCACAACCAGGGTTTGCAAACCACCAGTCTGTAGCAATCAGCTGAAATACAAAGCTCAATTGAGGAAGTACAAACTTGGGAAAAGAGAACATAAAACACTGCAAACTAGTCATTAAACAAGGCTGTATTTTTAGCTATTCTTAAAATGTTTACATTTAGCTGGATTTAGAACACTTTAATTACAATACTGATCTCCAAATGAAGCGAATGTCATTTCGTCTGATTACAAATCTCATTACCTTCAACTAACAATTATGAATCTTAGGAGGGCACAGGGGGGTGCAAGGGGCTATGGCTCTCTCATGTGACTGGAGTGAAGGCCCCAGGGACAATCTCCCTAAGGCCCAGTTTCTTCATCTATAGAACAGGGCTGATAACGATACCTACCTCAAAAAGCCAGACACAAAGGGCCAAAGAGCCTGGGAAGATGGCTTAGCAGGAAAAACGCTTGCTGTGCGAGCATGTGAACCACAGTCCCAGAAGCCATGTGGTCGCCCATCTGCAGTCCTAGCAAGTGGGAGGCACAGACAGGGAATCCTAGGACAATCAGCTAACCAGACTTTTGCAGACTTCTAGCTTGAAGTTCAGTCAGAGATGGTTTACATCTATGCACAAGGTGAAGAGCATTTGAAAAAGATGCCCAATGTCCACCTCAGGTGTCCACATACATGCACACATGTGTGTATATACCCATACGTACACATGTGAAAATGCATATACACATGCATATTACACATACATGCATGCACCAAAAGTTGCTATGAATAGCCAATGATATCATTCGTAAAAATAATAATTGAAAATAAAAGGCCAATGAACAAATATTATTACCATCTTAAAAGAACAGTGGAGATATTAAAGCCTCAGGTGTGCGTGTGTGTGTGTGTGTGTGTGTGTGTGTGTGTGTGTGTGTGTGTGTGTGTGTGTGAGTCCTGTCTGGACTTGAATCCACCATTTCTTGCTCAGACCAGTTTCTACCCACTTGTCTCCACAGCTGACAACATCTGCACTCCCAAACCTAACTCTCCTGCCCTTTGACCCCTACAGCATCAGCGTCTTCATCGTACTGTGTTCTTTTGTCTTGTGCACACAGACTCTACTTACACTTTTCTCAGCCCACTTCTAAAACCTCTTAATGTCTGCTTTAGCCTCTTATGTTCATTCTGTAACCACTATACATGCATATAAACGGACCTACTGCATGTTATGTGCTCTATGACGTTGAGTGTTCATATTAGAAATCAATATTAAAATAAAAAAAACATGTATTTGCCTCAGTCAGATTACCAAGGTAGACAAGATTATCTGACTAATGGATACAATTAGAATCAATGGATACCTTGGGGTAGAGAGATGGCTCAATGGTTAAGAGCATTTCCTGCTCTTTTTTATTACAAGCACCCACGTGGCACCTTACAACTGCTATAACTCAAGTTCCAGGGGATCTGACACCCTCCTCTGACCCCTGAGAGTACCACAAAGTACACACAAATACATGCAGGCAAAACATGCACACATGTATCGTAAAAAATAAATCTTAAAATCATTACATCTTATGAACTTATTGCTTTTCAATAAGTTTGAACATTGTGGAAAGCACAAATGTGTTAGTCAATGTCTGTGGCATCACATTCTTATGACATTTAGTAACCCGGGAAACTTGACGTGGGGAAGACTTACTTGATAAAAGTACTTAAGCCTTCCAGTCCTTAGAAAGAATATTTCCTATAGCATGTTTAAAGTCACCTGCCACTTGTAAATAAAGTTTCTATAAGTCTGAATCTGTGTAACCATCAGCAAATGTCCCAACGTCCTTTGCGATATGAAAAAAAGTGCCAACCCAAGGTGATGGGATTTGCCAATTCTGTTTGCACACTGGAATCACCTGCCTGGACAGACACTTAAAACATGTTGGAGTGACTTGGAATGACGCTGTGACCTGCAATTCAGGGTGCAGCCCCAGGGGCGGCCACCACTTTTTTTTTTTTTTTTTTTTTTTTTTTTACAGTACTTTTCTATCCTGATTGCAGGTTTGAGGCACCTGGAAAACTTTGAAAACTTTTTTGTCCAGGAATGGATAGTAGCAAAGATGCTCTCAGCTACCCATTGGGCAGAGAACATGAGTCCTAACCATCTGTGCTTGCCACTGCTGAGCAAAGAGGGAAGAATTAGACCTGAGGGATTTCTATTTCAACCACATTCAGTGTATCCAATTATTTTCTCCCATTTGATGATCCTCACACACGGTTCTTCACTACTTTTTAACTCCCATTCCTTTAGGATACAGGTAAACCATTTTCTTCTTCTATAAAGAACCAGATAGTAAATTGGTTAGGCTTTGTGAGTCTTACAGCCATAAATAACATGTACATCCACAGACCTTCTTATATCCAATTAAACTTTATTTACAAAACCAGATGTGGTGGGGTGCTTGGTCAGAGAGCTACCGCAGATGACCTCTGCTTTCGGGGTGATTAAAATTTTAATTGTGCCCGTTAACACAAGTCTGGTAACAGCATGGAACAACGCTGAAAGTGTTCTCCACCTTAGAAGCTTTTCCTTCAACTGTCCTCCAATTACCACGTACCAGAAACTCAAAGCAGACAGTCCTGTTTCTATCCAAACCATACGGGCCTGCTCAGACTAGTTCTGCCACTGAGTACTATTGAAGCCGCCAAAGCTTCACATCTATCCCAGTTGTCCACCCGACTTCTCAGCTGAGTCTGCCCACCTCTTTGGCAAGCAAATGTGGCACACAACCGGACCATGCTGGCCTCCTCATTTGCACAGGATGCCGTGGGTTATTTATCTTGGAAGAAAAAAAAAGAATCCATCTTTGCTGCTTCTGAATACCCTTTTACACTCTGCAACTGATCAATGAGTTATAAACATGTAACCCCAGGCCTAAAGGCTTTGATTGAGTAATTTCTGTTCGCTGGATGGGTTTAATCAAGGATCCTGCCTCAGCCACCCCTTCTGGGTGTCCCCTGATGTCTTGAAATGAATAATGGATGAAAGGCAGAGATGAGAGGGTGAGACCATTTGCTCCATGGATGGGATTGGAGCCTGAGTGTTACTCTTAGCCTGTCAAGCAGGGGCTGAGTGGGAGCTCACGGCACAGTTGTGTTCTCCCGAAATCTGACTCTGCAAACATGAAAGTCTTCAACCTGTGGTGCTGAGAGAGATTGCCTTCAGTTATGCGTGAGTTCCCAGAAGCCCATGTTCTAAACCTTTGCCAAACAGGGCAGTTTATGTCTGCTGTCGAACTTATCACCCCGACACAACAGTGCCAGACAGGGTGGTCTCCTGGGAGGGGAGGTTCTTAATTCTCCTGTGCACAGCCGACAATGAACTTTCCCGGATATCCTGTGTTAAGGAAAGGAAAACTAACCAGACACACTTACTTGGAAGTGTTTTCAAGTATTCCTTTGACTTCATTCATTTCTTCTTTCCCAAAGTACACAACGGTGAGGTGAACTCTCCCATCCTGTTGGATACACATCTCCCTGGAAAACAAAACACATGTATGTCTGGGCCTGTCTGTACATTTACAGGAAGACACAAACTGACTCCCCCTCCCTCCTCCTTCTTCTTTTTCCTCATTTTTTTTTTTTGTAAAGTGCAAAGAGGCTTAAAGTAAACTCAAGACAGAAGAGACGAGCACCCTGATCGGCCGCTCAACATTTATTTATCTTATCAGGAAAATTATTAAATTTAAATATGCAGATGTGGGAAATAAAACATCAGATGAAAGACACCTTAGAGTCAACCTGCCGTTGGAATAGCCCACCTGGGGCCCTCAGGTTGTTCTGGAAAGAGTTCTGAGAAGTCTCTGGGATATAAGACATTAGTTCTGTGAGAAATCTAATGTCCAGAGAGGGAGAAACAAGAGGCTTTGTCTGTGGATATTTCCCTGGTGTGGGACAAACAACACAGTCCTCATTCCCAAATGGCCCACAATAAACCATCACTCTTTGGTTTAGGACAGTGGGAAGCCTTGGAAACACCCAGTGTTATATGGACTGTCAAGGAATTCCAGCATTGTGTGTGCACCCTACCCTTCCAAGCAGGTTCCCACCATTATAACTCCTCATGAGTTAATGAAGTAGACATATACAACCCTAGGCACAAAAGTTTTGATCAAAAGATTTCTGTACAGCTTGAAGGAGTCAAGGCCTGGGAAGAGGATCCTGGGGTGTAACAGTATGATTTAAAACTGGGAATCCCCTCATGGCCATAGTCCCTATAGGGAGTCTTTACCTATTTACAGCAAAAGTCTCCATACACAAAAGCTGCCACTGCCCCATTGCTCTGCTCCAACCTGGTGACTCATGGTCCTGACAGAGAAGCCATTTGCTTCAGCTCTTAGGGCCAGGTCTTTGGCTCTTGACTAGTCTAGACTATTCTCACCAAAGCTTATGTGTTGTTTGCTATGTCCTATTCTTTCAAACATAACATCTAGCTGATCTGCTAAGTTCTTCTGAGGGTTTGCTCTTCAAATACATGTGTGTGCAACTGTATGTGTGCATACCTGTAAATGTAAATATACATACACATAAATATTTATGTATACAGCCAGGCATGCATTCATATTAGTATGTAGATAATGTGAACTGGTGTTTCCTGGGAGCCAGTTGTTACAGAAATTCTGCTGGTGAGATGCTATTTTGAAATATTTGGGTATTTCCTGTGCCCTCCTTCTGCTGTTGACATTTATACAATAATCCAAATCATAGACTCCAGAAATATCTTGGCCCTACTTACAGAGGTCAAGTTACTAGATATTTTTTGTTATGACATCAAAAGGGGAGAACCACATTCCTGGGGTTGATGGGAAGCATTGGAAACAACAGAAGACATGGCTCCTGCCCTAGAAAAATGGACTTAGCCGATAAAACAAGCACAGATGAAGGCATCAGAGAAGGAGAATGTTGGAGGCATGGCGAGTTCTCCGGCTGGGTTGGGACTTGGAGTATGGGAAGAGTTCAGAAAGCTGGGGTCAAGAAGGAAGGTCACTCTGACACCATTGGGGATGTAAGCCTTGGCCTCGCTGTAGACATGCTTCTGACAAAGTCTCTGTGCTCATAGGTCCCCTTGCCAAATCTGCCAGATAAGTGGAAGGAAACCATGTACATAGGCCACGTGCTGGAGAAACTGTTCTTCAAAAGTGTGTGAGTGTGAGTGAGTGTGTGTGGGGTGCAGGGGGATCCATCCCAGAATCAGGAGCCAGTCACCTGCTGGGCCTGAATTAAAGCCTTCTGTGTTTTCCAGTAACATCTTTGCTACCTCTCTCTCATTGGTGTTTTTAAATCAGGGAGATGGGTCGGGCCCAACCCTTAAATGGCCAGATTAGGGATCTCAGAAAGGCAAATCCAAGCTTGCCCTGGTGTCTGTCTCCAGTTCTTCACTTTAGATGTTTGTGAAGTCTTTGCTTCATTCACTCAACAAGTATTTGTTGACAATATACCACATGCTAGACACTCCACCAGGGGATCTTCAACAAGTGGGACTGGATTGTCTGCCTTTGAAGAAGTTTCCTACCTCCTAGGCAGGACTCAAGCTACCCACAATGAAACTATTCAATGCTCCTTGAGAATATGGGATTGTGCAGACCCCTATTGCTGTGTGGATGGTCTTTGTGCTTTTCAAAATCTCTCCCATTTGACTACCCCACCCCTGAGAGTGTATGGGAATATGTGTGGCTATGGCCATGTGAAGATATATCTTTGTTTCAGAGATAAATTTAAAAAGAAGTCTTAAACAACTGACTCATGCTGCATATAGACTTCTGGCTTTACGGTGTTAATTACTTGCATTTGGACAATGCTATCAGTAATACTGATAGTAATACAGTCCCACTTCTGTAAGCATGTCTCCAGGGACACTGTGGTTGAGTGATAAGTGAAACTATAAAATGATTCCAGGGAACCCCAACCTCATGAGCCCCTCTTAGGGAGCACATTATGTCCACAGATGCTTCCTTCCCATTACCTCAACAGCCCCAATTCCTTGACCCCAAACTGGAAACTGAAAATTCTGTTTCCACTTCACAAATACCATAGCTTTTTAGAATGATTTTTCTAGAAAACAGTTGGCCCTTCCCTGAGTCATTATCACACAGAGTGCAGGGACTAGTTAGGATACATATTTAGGCAGAAAATGTGGGTTACCGTCCTTTATGCATATCTATATTTTTATTTCCTGAGAGGTCAAAGTTCTGTCATTAGTCTGTAGGACTGATCTGTACCTGGAGTGTGGAGTCCATTGCTCAAAGTCTTAGTTTAGAGGTAAGAAAATGCATTCCAGCGACCTCTGAGAGCTGTGCAGGGAGCAATACACACATCTGGTTCTATAAGGATTGATAGTCTCCAGGGCAACCTTAGCAAGGCAGGGGGTAGGTTGTGGGGGGTGGTCTATCAGACTTGACAGCTTGGGCTTCACTGTACAGGATTCACTGCTAAGCACAGTGCAGTGTTGTGTTTAGACAGATGTGGAGTAGAGGAAACCTCAACAAAACTCCACATGGAAATCGTTGTGTAGAAGGACTGATTGTCTTAGGTTCCTGATATGGAAGCTGGTCAGGTACCGTCAAACAGATCTGGTGGTCTGCAGAATGCTTCCCTAGGCCTATTTGTGGGAGATGTTGTATCCCTAGACAGAGAACTCACCTCAGGCATGGATTCTCAAACTCAGCACTGTAGTGGGTAGCCATTCCAGCTTGGATCTGGAAGTTCCAACCCCCATTGAGACTCTGGCAACTGCCACGCCTACGAGGTGGGGCAAGGGGAGGCGCCTGGGGACCCAGAGCTGGATGGGCCAGCGCTCTCTCTATGCGCTCTCTTGGTGCCGGGATGCAGGACGGTGAAAGGTGGATTGTGCAGAGCTCCGGAGAACATTGCTGGATTGCAATACACCTTCCCCAGACCCTGCGACCTACCCATTACTTAATTTGTGAGTTACACCCTTAAATAAATATCCTTTTAACTACGTGGAGTGGCCAAAATAATTTCTCCAATACAGCACAGAACTGAGCTTGGAAGATGTGAGAAGAGTGTCCTGTGTGCCGAAGGGTGTTCAGCATCATCCCAGGCCTCCACCAATGTTGTGCTGACAGCATTCCCCTAATCCAATTGTCATAACCAAAAGTATGACCACACTTTGCCAAATGGACTCAGGGCTGGGAAGATTGAGTTACAGAAGAATGTCCTCAGTTCTGAGCCCCTGTCTGAAGAATCAGGTTTGGTAAAAACACCTGATCTGTGACAGGGGAGCATGGGAGGCAGGAAGAAAGCATCCCTCCAATGCCTTGTGAAATCCCATGTGAGGCCAGGGGAGACACGGTGCTGAAGCAACCCTACAAGCTGTGCTTTCTTTACAGAACAGGAAGCCTTCAAGGGGCATTGGTGATCTAGGCAGGGACTTGAAGGGAATCAAAGTTAGCAAGGCAGTGTAAGCACAATGGGGGTTGGGCGCTGAGGGTGAGGACAGTGACAGCAGCAGCCTCTGAGGCACCTGTGAGCAGCAGCTGCCTCAGCTGTCAATCAGAAGCAGGGAGGTCACCTGTTCTGTGACACTTGGGCTGGCAGTGCATGCTCAACACATGGCCTTGCCCACTTGAGACGCCCCTGGCGAACACCAGGAAAGACTGGCAGAGTCATGGAGGATGAGTGCTCTTGTGCTGGATGAGACAAGGCAGGAAGCTGTGTCATGAAGTTGGGGATGTCAGTTTTTAGACCTCATGCCGAGTGGCCTGGGGAAGCGCAATACTGTGGTTTTCGTGAAAAAGGAATTGCCGTGGTGGTAGCTTGGCTTTCCGCGGGGTGATATTAGGAGGTAGGGTTTAGCATAAGGTGAGTAGGTGACCGGGGACACTGCCATTGGAAGGAGTCACTTTGGGTTTCCTGAGACCTAGGCGTGTTCCTGTGTCGTTACCTAGACATGGTGATACATGCCATTTGGGAAACAGACTATGGTTCCCAGCCAGATCCTGTCTCAGAAGAAAAGAAAAGAAGGGGGGAAAAGAGACATAGAAAGGGAACAGGGAGGGTGAAGGGAAAGGAAGGGGGAAGGGACAGGGGGGACAAGGGGGAGGTGGGTAAGGAAGGGGGAGGTGGGTAAGGAAGGGGGAGGTAGGTAAGGAAGGGGAGAGGAAGGGAAAGCAAGAAAAGTGCAGGGGGTGGGTGGGGAGAGGAAGAGAGGAGGTGAGAGGAGGGCATGGAAAGGGAGGCAAGGGGAGATGAAGAGGGGAGAGGAAGGGAGGGGAAGGGAGAGAAAAGAAGAGGAGTGGGGGAGGGCAGATCTGGGAGAGCCAGGCATTATCCGGCTCCTGAAGGCTTCTCTCCTTCCTGCGGCTGCTTCTCCATGTCTGATGCGTCCTCATCCTGATCCGGTCACAACGACATCCTCACCAGGAACAAGTCGGTGTTAGGATCAAGCCTTAAACCTTTAACACCATGACATAAGTAAGCTACCTTTTTAGTCTTTGGGGTTTCTAATTTTTATTTAT